CCGTCAGTGTCCACGCCGAGGGGCCCTCCTGTCCACGATTATGCAGGAAGAAAAGACGACTCCAGATGACAAGCGGTCTCCCAACTCGTGAGTCCCGCTACCCCCCCCGGTATCCCTTCCGTCTCTCGCTTTACACCCTTTCTATGATACCATATAGATGCCAGTGCAGCTACGTTGGCGCATATACAACTGTCTGTTTCTTGTTTCCCCCAGGCTAACCTATATCTATACCAGGTCCCGGAGGAGTGGGGGTCCAGCTCCGAAAATATCTATCAAAAAGGAATCCCCGCCGTCCCCTAACATGCAAACTGGACCAAGCAGACACCGCCCACAGAAACTAGACCTGTCGTCCGTGGCTAGCAGCCAGGGCCCGGCCACTGCCAGGGGGCCGTTGACAGCTCGAGATGGGCTGGCCATGCATGACGTCGGCCTTGCATGTCTATCCCCTGGGTTCCAAACACAGGATCCTAACATGAGAGAACAGCTGCAGAGAAGTATCTCTGTCAGAGACCAGCAACGTTCCATAATTGAGTCTCGCCTACAGAAATCTGCCAAGGGCGACGGTCCGGATTCCGTCAAACCCTCAGAATCAAATCTCTTTGGCTCCGCTGCGCCAAAGTCGAGCAAGAAGCGGCCACCTCCAGGGCTGTCCATTGTTGCTCCATCTGCTGCCACTTTTGCTGATGAAAGAGTCATTCAATCTGCACCACTCAACCAGACATTCACTGGCCGCCATCAGCCACAACCTCTAACTCGCCGTTTTATCAACCCTCCAGATTTTACCGCTTCGCCCCAGGTAAATCATAACCCAGCCAACCAGACCAACAACCGTTTGCCACCAATATCAGACGTATTTGGCACCGATGCTCTAGGCCCACGAGACAGAGATAGAGATAGAGATCGTGAAGCAAACTCCCGGAATGGACTCGGCCCACACTCTCAATCTAACAGCCATGGGCCCCTTCCTTCACCCAGCATTGCTGCCAATCAACCTAATAGTGCAGTAACCAAACGACCCCGGGAATACCGCTCTGCCGAGGAAGCGGTGCACGAACTCGCTGGTGGGCGCGAGGATCTCCTTCCCCGAATAGTTCATTACAGTGGGAACAGGGCCAACAGCCCTCGATCACCTGCAGGGGCCCACAACGGAAACGGGGAGGGCCACTCTTCCCACCCACAGCATCACCAACCACATACTAGTGGCGGACCTCCCAGCAGCCAATTTCCCAGTCAATCGTCGCTTGGATTCCCTGGTTCAGGCGCTCGTCGACGCACCAGAAATGAGTATGAGCAGGATCATGGCAGTCCACCTCTTGGAAACGGGCCCGAGCATAGATATAGGCCCCCTCCAACTTCACACGGGCCCTTTGGAGCTGGACGAGATTCGCCCGATACCCAGCGAAGGAAGAAGGAAGAGTTCTTAAGTTTATGTGCTCGTGCATGGGATTTGTTCCATTCATAGCACTGTCTTATCTCTCCTTATATTCCATACGCTCCAGCCTTGCACTCATTTTATCTGTTATGTCACTATATTCACACGGTATCATTACCACTCTCCCATTCTTTACGGAGCACGTCTTCTCTGGATCCTTTTTATTTCTCATGCGCTCCTTTCTCACCCGTCTCTTTTTATTTTTATTTTTTTCGACCTTTTAGGTTTACTTTCTAACCCCTTCTCTCCCTTTTCGCCTCAATGCTCATTCGCGGGCTGGTTACTGTGGATGTGTTTCACGGCCCTTTTCCTTTCGATTTCCTCTTCTATCCTTTGATGTTTTTTTTAGCAGCCATTTCTTCTCTATCCTCACATTTCTCGCTCTCTCCATATCTCTCCCCACTACACTTATACAACTTACTTACATCTCTAACATCTCCCTTCCCTACCTTACTTTCCTATTTCCTTGCTTTCGATCATTTCGTGTGGCATAATATTGGGTATTCATGATTAGGATGGATGCTGGGTTGGATTAATGCTGTCATATATAACTATTTTCTTACGCCCCCTTCCCACCTCTTGCCACTCAGACTCCTTTCTTTCCACCATTTCTCAATACTCCTATGAACTGACCATATCATGCGCCTGCTCTGAATTTATAACAGAGGAGCCAACAAACATATTAAAATATTTTTTCCCCTCAGAGAAATCTTTCCTTCTATACCTTCCATCGTTTACGTGTTTGCATAGATGAATCTTACAAAAGTTGTAAGCGACCCATATAATAACAATAATCTACAACTATTTTAAGCTTGATCTATGGCTTCAAGTTGAGCATTTTGAATCACGCCGGATATCATGCTCTATGTAAAGAGTGTATCGTATGCTTACAAGGGGGAAGTAGAGGCACGATAAAGTACCTATATCAATACCCTCAACATCCGGCTCACCCTTCCACCATTCTTCTACTTCTAGGCATCTCCCTTTTCTCCTTAGAAGCAACTTTCTTCCTCCGCCTCTCGATGCCTTTCTGCCTCTCTTTAGCCCCCATCGACTCATATTTCTCCTTCAGAGCCTCTTTCTTTAGATCTGCTCTCTTCAAGAACCACGCCTTCTCCTTCTTTCCTTCTTTGATCAGTTCTCTCTCCTTCTTCCGATGTCTAGCCAGCACCTGTCTCTCTCTTTCCCGGTTCTCCATTGCCCTCTTCCTATCCTTCATAGATGTGATCATCTTTTTCAGCCGAGCCTTTTCATCATCTTTCTTACTTCGACGTAATTTTTCCTCAAGTTCCTTCAGTTCTGCATCTCGGTATTCGTTTAGGAATGCATAATTTTTAGCCGCTGCTAGATCAGAATGAGATTTGGAGTAAGATGAGGATTTGGTGTTGTGGCTGTAACTTTGTACTGCACTGTCGAACCGCGGATCCCTCGATTTGACTTGTGCTACGTTTTCTCCGTCAACAACAACTCGTCGGCGACTGACTGCGTATTTGCTTGATTGGACCGCAGGCGCGTGTTTGGAAGAACGGGCCTCCTTGTGGTTTTTGTCCGAGAGTTCACTGTCTCTCGATCGGTCTGACTTGGAAGCTTTCCCCTCTTTCGCTCTTCGGATTCGCTCGCGAAGTTCATTCAGGGCGTCTGATTTGGATTTCTTGTACTTGGTATTTTCATTGGCTTCTTCCACTTCCCCTTCCTCTTCACCCCCGTGCTTCCTTTTAGCCCCCTTCTTCAGGGGCCCAAGAGATTGCTGGGCTTTGGCAAGGGCACCGAAAGATATTTGTGACAGTGACGATTTGATATCATTGTCTCCGTTGTCTTCGGAAGAAGCGTTGTCTGGCTGTTTCAATGGAAGTTTGGTCAGCGATACCCAACAATTTTATAATATAGAAGACCAAAACCACTATGAATATACCATTTCTCCATTTTCTAACTCGTCATCTTCATCTTCATCGTCTTCACCGCTCAGAGTGTTCAATTCCTCAGAGCTTGAGAAGTCATCCTCCAGTTCATCCTCATCTGGCCGGTGTGCTGTAACCCTTTTGCCCAGTACACCTGAAAGAGCCATTACTTTTGGCTCTAAATATTCTCCCGTAGCTTTTAGCCAGTATGATATATATTATAGCCTGCCTTGTCTTGCTATCTCGTCTTCTTCATATTTGAATTTCGGTATCAAGCCCTGCAAGAAGTCGCAAAAAAGGTAAAGTTTATTTTTCTGCCTCGCCAAGCCCCAAGGCGGTGGATATCTTATCTGATTGTTATCATTATCTTATCTATATACACGTGATGCTGTCAAAATCCCAAATTTTTTTAAATAATACGGGTACGGAGTAACTACTCTCATCCTTCAGCGGTCTTCGTTATCAGGAAGCCTACCTACGGCCATGCTCAAGGGCCGGTATGGCTTTGTTCCGTCATTATCGAATTATTGCCTAATTTGGGGTGTTAGAATTAACTATCATTCACAATATTCAGGCTTCCCCTTTTGCAGTCACTTCGACTATCGAGTGAGTATCAGTATTTCTAATATGGATAGCTGGCCACTTACTAATGACATGAGGCTTAGCGGGTACAAGTCTGCTCTTGGTCTAATAGATCTACTAGAGTTTATACTACAACGCCGCATATCATGTTAGAACGAGACATAGAGCAATCGCTCCCCCCTGTGGACGGGCATGCGCAATCGCAGCAGGACGTTGAAATGTCAAATGGACTGGAAGACACAAACCCAGGCACATTTATCAGCTGCCCTTATACCAATTCATCTCTGATACCCCGACATTCGAGTTCATCACAGGCGTTTGGTCCTCACCCTTACGCGCAAGTATCAATCAATGAACCCCTTGAATTACTTCCTAGAACTGTTTACAGCAATAATGACCCCTCGTGAGTCGTGCTTTTAGGCTCTATTTTAACATGAGTTTAAGTAACTTAACTGTGATACATAGATACCCTCATCGGCCATCACATCCTCCTCAGCCTTACAATATTTTTGCACATCACTCCCTTTCTGCATACAGCAGTCGCATATCACACATGCCAACAAATACGGACCTCGCTGGGCAAGCCGCAACAAACAATCTCACCCCTATATGCTCTCGACCGTATTCAACAAGAGCACAGCGATCTTCAACGCCTGACATACAACCCGTTGCGCCCACTCCAAAAGAAGAGTACATGGCCCAAGCTGAGCTCGAGTCGGAATCCTCACAAACACAACAGCCGCTGCTTGTTGTCCTTGATATGAATGGAACATTAATATACCGAAGACGTCGTACATTCCCTCCACAATTTACCAAGCGTCCCGGCCTAGATACGTTTCTTCGGTATCTATTTGATAACTTCAAAGTCATGATTTGGACTAGCTCACAGCCGCATACAGTGAATGAAGTTCTGGATAAACTTCTATGCCCCTTAATGAGAAAGCAATTGGTCGGAGTATGGTCACGCAAAGATCTTGATTTGACCTCCAAACAGTACAAGGAGAGAGTTCAAGTGTATAAGCGTCTTGACAAAGTGTGGGGAGACGCGCATATCCAATCCCAATACCCCAACCAGGCTGCACAGAATACAAAACCACGAAAGAAGAGTAACAAAGTGAAGCTTCCACGGATACTTGGAGGAGATACTCAGGTTTGGGACCAAACGAATACTGTCCTCATAGACGACAGCAAATTAAAAGCTGCCGCCCAACCACATAATATCATTGAGATACCTGAATTCACAAATGACCGTAAAGTGGACGAAATCAAGAATTTAAACACTGTCATACGCCAACTGGATATACTATCCCGTCAGAAAGACGTTAGTCGCAAACTGAGGGAGTGGAATCAGAGACGGCCAGATGGGGAGTGTGACAGCATTGATGTGGATGCTTTTTGGGAGAAAGAGCTGATGCACTCCTCTCTTGACATAAATACACTCGAGTTCACCACATCCCATGAAAAGGCGACTGTCACTACTACTACTACTACGAAGACAACCAAGAATATCAAGGCGCCCCAGTCCCTCACCATTGAACAGCTAATTAGTGCGGCGAAAATATCACACGCAGCAATTAATCAATGGAAGAACAATCCTACGAAGAAAGGGGCAAGCGAAGAGTCTAAGCACCTCAGCGATGGAAGACCAAAACCAACCAAAGGCCAAAAGCGAGCTGCGACAAGGAGGCGGGCAAAGCTTAAGGGAGCAGCAGGGTCCAAGAAAGCTGACCCAGTTTTATACCCGTAAGGAGGAACTAAGCGGTTCGTGAGTCACAGCAACTGAATCAGTGTCACGTATTGTGCTAAGCGGCAGTGCCCGTTGGCCAGCAGCAGAAAAGGTACTCCATACTCTAATATTCTGCAGACTACGAGAAGACAATACAAACCTCTAGTGCATTAGGCTAATGGGTATTTGCTTTATGGATGACTTAGGAAATTCATTTCACATTAGGGTAGACAGCTGATTAACAGCAGCCAGGCATAGGAACATTACCATTCGGCAGTGTTCAGGTTCGCCGTCAAAACACATAAAGTCATAAATATGTACTTAATTGCTTTTTCCCTTTACCTGGTATCTTTTCGTTTTTTTGTTTACTGGGGTGACTGGAAAACGTCAAAAGGGACGTCCAAAGGGATAGTTTACTTGCAAACCTTGCCCTCAGTGCATTCGTATTCCTTGCCATTGACGGTAATAGGCTTGTCCTGAGCCCACTGGTCCTCGACGAAGGCTTTGTCCTCAGGCTTGCTAGCATCTAGCTTGGTGAAGGTGTAACTGTCGATATCAGGGGCAACGTCAAATGCAGGAACATAGTCCTGACCACGGATGACGAAGGCTCCCTGGATGACGGAGTCGTTGGTCTTGCCATAGACGGAGGCAGCACCGAAGATATACTTGCGAGAGCCCTCAAGACGGTTGAAAAATCCACCTAGAATCCATAAATTAATCTCCCGATTCCCTTGAAACCGAATCACCGTGGGCAATGCTTACCAATCAAGTTGTTAGACATGAATGTCATCTTCAACTCGTCATTGTACTTGTAGTCAACCTTCCAGAGGGAATAATCTTCAGGGTTGTAGTTTTCCCAGAACCACGGCATGGCAACGGAGCGGGTGTCCTCGTTGGAGTACTTGCGCTTCCAGTCATCAAGGATCATTGATGGCTTCGGGAGAGCCTCAAGAGGGTGCTTGGCCTTGGGAGCTGGCTTCTCCTCCTCCTCGGCAGGGGCAGCAGCAGCAGCAGCTTTGGGGGCAGGAGCTGGCTTGGCAGCCTCTTCCTTTTTCGGCGGGACATTCTTCAATGGCTCGTCGACGAAAGGAGGCTCAGGAACAACAGCCTTGAAAACAGGCTGGTTGACAATGGTTTCATACCATCTAGTAGTGGCAGGGTTGGAAAGGCGCCATTCCTTGCCGAGGACATATTGGAATCCGCGATAGCAGAGACTGGCAGTGAAGAGATCAGCAAGAGTTATACGCTCGCCAACGAGGAAAGTGTTGGTGGTAAGGTGCTTCTCAAGGACATCGAATGCTTTCAAAGCACGAACAGAGACATCCTCAACAGCCTTCTTGTTGTAGGGTTCCTTGCCAAGGATTGGGCGGAACCAGGCACCGACGTTTGGAACAATTTCAGAGTTGGCAAAGCACATCCAGCGAAGGATGGAGGCATAGTCCTGCTTGGTCTTTCCGAGAAGGGTAGTCTTCTCGTTCTGGGAAGCAACTACAAATCGTTAGTGGAAGTGTATACTAAACAAAGATGCCTCAAGTCTCAAATAAACGACGTCAGGATTGTTTAGAATAGAAAACAAAATTCAGAGTCAAAGTAGTCAACACAGCATGATTAAGCCAGGGATAACTGAAAATAGTATTGAACTTCTCATCATAAAAATATCATATCACCCAGTGAAATAGTAGAAGAGAGGGGAATCCCTATGTAGAGTACTTACGGAAGACCGCAATGGCAGTAGACTCAGTCAAGAGGAAGCCATTGGCACCAACGAAGACAGGAACCTTAGCGAGAGGGTTGATCTTCTGAAATTCAGCAGTAGTAGCACCGGGGATAGCCTCAACGAGCTCAAGATCAAGGTCGTTGGCCTTGGCTACAATACGGCACGCAGAAACGCGTGGGTTGTCCTGAAAGAAGTCTTGACGTTAGCAGTGAGCTACAAGCCCGTAACGGCAGGAAGAACGAGAATGAAGCAGGGATCGAGCATACAATGACACCGTAGATCTTTCCAAACGACATGACGGGCAGAGACGGGAGACGTCTTTCAGCTTCCAATTGCTTGCTTGCTGGTGAGGATGATGAAGAGGAGAAGAAGAGAACTTTTTGCGGCGGGGTGAAAAATGAAGAAAAAAAGAAGAAAATCTCGGTTTGTTGTTAGTTAGGTAAAGTTCTTTAGGAAATTTTCTCCGACACCGGAACATCATTGATCCCCGAAAGTCATGTGATATCAAATTTTCCCATGGCCATCATGAACTTTTTTGTCAAAGACAAAGATCAAGCAGACAGGGCAGAGCGCCGGCACAGGGCCAATTAACCAGATACCACGACATTTGCGGTCCTCCATCACCATCATGGCCTGGCAGAGACCGGTTCTCGCAGCTCGGACGTTCCGGCTCCCACGGTGCTTAACCCAATTCGAGGCCTTCCGACACCAACCATTTTCGACCACTACTTCTTCTCCCCTTGACGATTCCCCCAATGCCGCTCCTCCGCTTGATCCCAGCGAATCACTCAGACAGCCAACTCGTATGCTACCCGTTTCACGGTCGTATTTTACTGGGACACCCAAATTTACAGACTACGAGTTGAAGCTTGAATACCTGAGAGCCAAATACATGGATTTGCCTAGCTATGGCCCTAGGGAAGCGCCACGAGTAGCATGGCTAGTAAGGGGCCAATTTTTGGCAAAGGTCAATGAAGAAATATCTGTTTCGAGGTATGCGAGGCTACTGAAAAGCTTAAAGGTGTTGAACAAGATCAAGGCAGAAGTAATGCCGGCGGAAGTTTCGCAATTCATTGAAGAATTCTCAAGGCCGAGAAATCTATACCAGTGGGAACTCAACCCACGGAAGCCTGATGAGGATGGCCGATCCCGTGGCATAGGGAGGCGAAAGACTGCACATGCAACTGCTTATCTTGTTGAAGGAGATGGCCAGATTATCATCAATGGGAAAACCATCTCGGAGGTATTCCCTAGACTTCATGATAGAGAGAGTGCAATGTGGGCGTTGAAAGCAACAAATCGACTACATAAATACAATGTATTTGCTGTTGCTCGTGGAGGCGGTGTCACCGGCCAGGCGGAAGCAGTTACTCTTGCCGTTGCGAAGTCACTTCTTGTCCACGAACCCGGTCTGAAATCCGCCTTGAGAAGAGGTAAGTCCTCCCTGTCGATGTTGCTGTTCTAAATTATGTACTCATACTAAATCTACCTAAACAGCCGGTGTTATCAGAACCGATCCCCGTCAAGTCGAGAGAAAGAAGCCTGGAAAGCTCAAGTCAAGGAAGATGCCCGCCTGGGTCAAACGATAATATCAACGTTGACTTTGCTTCTTATTGCCTCCATGGGGCTTTTTTGTTTCTTTCAGATATAGTCGCTTGAAACTGTATTTTATCTATCATGTATACTCTAGGTGTGGATTGGGTAATAGAATTATTCGCCGTTATCGGTTACTCACATGATGTGTTATTACCTAGGTCGAGTAGCATTTCTAGAAGCACTCGCTACAGCCTATCGCAAAAATGCTACGTGGGATCAGTAACCAAACCCCCCACCCCAAAAAAAAAAAAGAAAAAAAAAATCGATCCTCACCCTTTTCATCGGTTGGTATGCACTGGTGAGACATCTGCAGCTATCTAGGAAAAGAAAATGTATTCCATTTCTCTACAATGTTCTAGGGGAATATGTAGATGGCACAGACCTGATGGATTAGTAGTCTAAACTATGCCGTAGTCCAAAAACTGTTGAAATACATGCTGACTTATAGCTATATGTAATTCTATTAATGAGCATGCACGAGGATTTCAGCCCACCCCTTCGACTAGGACGATTCTGGATTGATATACTCCGGACAGAAATGAAATATAGCAAGTGCGGCTGTGCTAGTATATCTGATCCCATAAGATCAGCATTAACGAGTGGATGTATCAGGAAGCTGGCTCCAGTCAGCACCATCGACGCGCACAAGATAAATCTCATAGATGTTAGATCCGGCTTAAGCCCACATTCTGAGCCCATATCCAAATTCTCGGGAATAACCTTGCGCATCGTATATATGCATGGAGAGCATATCCAAATTATTGAAGCCAATTCCCCAAGAAGAGAGGGGGGGAAGACGCCGCTAAGTCTTCAGGTCTGCTCAAGGAAACATATTCTCCGTTTCTCAAAACAATTAGTCGAAACCCCAACTGAGATTTCACTTGGCTACATTCTTTTTGAGAGAAAGAAGTTCAACAGCCCTTCTTCTGTAAATAGAGTCCAGGGTAAGAAGACGCCTCTCTGATGAGGCGTTAAGGAAAACGGGAAAGAAATTGCCTCCTTAACTTAGATAGATCAGGGGTGCTATACTTAGGTGGCGGCTGACAATCTCCCCAGCAGTTTAGTTTCTGCGTAGCCTGTGTTGAGTACAGAGTAGGTATCTAGCATCATATGAGGAACAGATTCGCAGTCAAGTAAGAACATCAACGTGTCCCTAATACGAAGCTGTGGTTCCGAGGTCATAATTGCCGCGTTTAATATTTCCCGAAAGCGCAAGATAGCAGTTGTCGATGGCTGGATCAACGATGCGGCAAGTTGATCTCAACCACAGGCTTGTGTCACTTGCAATGCAACACCCTCGTATCGACCTGACATGTGGCGTAAACCCCATGTCAAGCCCAAATATAATCAGTTGGCCTTGGGAGTCTGACAATTGAAAAAGGAGCAAGAAGCGCGTAAAAAGGAAAGCTGCGACAAGTATTGTCATCTTGATGGTGCTCTTGACCGCGGAGCATATTTCCGGTTCAGGGACCCATGATCTGAAACCTCCACTGAGATCAGTCTTGTAAAGGGCGCGTGCCATCAAAATGCCCTTGTCCACTCTCCTGATCGGCTCTCGCCTCGACATTATCGCATCCATCATTCTCAAGCCAAAATAATTTGTTTAGAGGAAGACCCGCTTAACGCCGCAGATTGGCTTGATTATCTCCCGTGCATCACCCATCACACATAGATGTGGTTGTAAAGCCCTCTCTCCTCGGACTGGTGTAGTGAACGAGGCCTGCCTCAACTTGCAGGGCTTTTGATCTCTGCGACGCCTATTTCCACTCTGATACCTTATAAACACGCAAGGATGTTTCTGCCCACTCCCTCACGTTATCAAGATAGTAACATCAGCTTGAAGAGGAACAAGGGAGCAATTCAGCATTTTACCCGCCATCACTTATCGAACTCCTTGTTTTGATAGCTTTAATATTGTTGGAAATATGCTGGAAAGAATGAACAAAAGCTGATTCGTGATGCTTTTGCCTCGATTGAGCGAGCTTCTTAGTAACTTTCTTGTCCATCCTCCTTACAAGGGTCTTAATCCGTGTCGAGGTAGACATCTTTCTAGCGAGGAGATAGCAAGATCAGCGTGTGAGTGGAGGAAATAGAGTGTTGCTCCACACGGATGTCCGGAGTACGGGCGAATGCTTGGCTTCTAAGATCAAGCGTTGAAGAGAGTTTGCCAGTCCAAAAGGAAGAAAATCAGGAAGCTAATCGGGAGCCCAACAGAGGGTGAGATCTCCAAAGCCAGGAAATGAATCGATTCCCAGGATTCTTTGGTTAAGAGGGAAATGCGTCCTTGAGTTACCTAGTGGCTTGGTACTACTATAATACTGGCCAGTAGGATAGTGAGAACTCAACTCCACGCAGGTACGAGGAGGCTAACCTCCTGCACCTGAAATGTACGTAAGAATTTCGGAGTTGCCGTCGACTATCATTATTGGTCTGCCAAAGGAAGCTTCTTCAGTGACAAGCGCTGCTCGTGTATGCATCAGCCACCCAAGGAAGAGGTGAGCCTATTCCGTACTGGGGCACTAGCTCTTGGAAAAAGGTGAGAAAGTGATGGGATACTTCAGCGCGCAAATCATGGTTGTAACATTAAGGCCAACTGTGTGGTTAAAATTCGGCTTTGGCAGACCGTAACGTCCAGAGGCTGATCTTTGCAACATGAGAGAGTTGCATGGGCTTGAAGAGTGGGTGGACTTGGAAGCCACCAGTTATATCCATCCAGGACTGCCTTTGAGACTTCGAGAAATATTTTCGAAATTCTAGATCTGGCCGACAAGGATGATCTGCAATCCCCAACGTGTCCTAGTCTGCAGACTGAACAGGCTGAGCCTTGGGGCCAGTGTTCATGTTGATAGAAGTGTGTCGAAGGAAAGTCATTTTTCTCCGAGAGAACTGCATATGGAATACAAAGTAAATCTGCGCAGTTACAAATGAAAGGATTATTAAAATTAGCTTCTTACTGTACGGAGTTCTTCGCATCGTAAAGAGCGAAAGTGTCTCGCATGAAGGACGTGATTCCACCATGGTACCGTTCAATCTTATGTCAGAACTCCATACTCCATAACCCAAGTCTATATGTACTCCAATTTAGCCTGTACATTATTTGTACGGAGTAGAGTTAGCTTGGATTGTTTCCTTATCAGTCGGTCGATATATGTAGGCCATTTTTGATGGACGGCCCGGAACAGTTAGCTTTCCAGAAACGCCATTTTACTGACCAAAGGAAAAATACTTCGGAGTAACTCCAGGTGTTTTGACTATACTGTTATATTATTCGCTTCTGCCGAGAAAGGTGGTTATGACGTGCTCACGGTTTCGCTAAAAGTCTAGTGGGTCCTCGGGCTATGATGATGGGCTTTGGCCGTGGTAAGACTTTCCTCACAAGGCTATGAGCAGAGAGAGAGAGAGTCGTACCCCATATATCACGGTTAAGTTGGAGGGTGTTGATCGAGATAAGGGGGAGAGCTGTTGGCCACTGTTAGAAATCTGTTAACAATTGGATTTCTTTTCTTTTCGAAAATACGAAGAGGTTTCCTGCCCTCTGAAAGAAATACGGGCAGCCACATAAAATTAAAATGATAAGCTGCCAGCCAGGTGATGGGTCGGCTTCTAGCTGTATGGGATGGTTGTGAGGTGAAACCTTCCGCTCACCTTTGACTTCTGTGGTTGCCAAAGCTTTCGTTTCAATGTAGCTGGGCAGGGTATAAACAACTGTTGTAGATCGTGAGCATGACACCTGACACTCTGGATGAGAGGAACGCTTGTTGCCAGAAGGGGGTAGCATGTCTTAGGGTGATGCTCTTGCTAAGACTGATAGCCATGAACCATGTTTCATCTCCTCCTCTGTTGGCGCCTAGGGACATCCCCGGCGTGGAGGGGTCTGTTACTAAGTTATCGACCCACCGAGATCGAAGCCAGGGGTGAGCTCTGAAATAACAAAGTGGATTTTGCAGCATCCAAGCTTGTACTTCGTACAGGTAAGTATACCGAAGGCCACTCTTGATGCAGGGGAAAACCTGGAGCGGCAGCGTTGTTGGTGCTGTTGGCTGTTGGCAGGAGAGGAAATAATAAACAGTTGACGTTGGAATAAAAGAAAGATCGCGGGTGGAGCTTGGAACATCACATTTCCCAACTGGGCAAAAGAGACGACCGCTCCAAGAGCCTCACTCCACCTCCGCGTCTTTTCTTGATATCAACACCAACCGCACCCCAGTTTTAGCGGCATACGAAGTGCTCCATACTCAGAGCTACAATTGCACAGCTGCCCCCAGGGAACATCAGAGTCTTGACAGGAGCGGGTGGACTATGTTTCGCGGGACTCACGACCCAACCAGCCAAGCTTGCTCTCATGCATTCGCAACATTCACACTATCGCAGTTCTCACAGGGGAGGGAGACACCAGCTGGTACCCAGTACCCATGTCGCGTATTATGGGCTGAATCGCCGGTGTTTCTCTTCCCAAAGAGAATGGTGGTAAAATAAGAAAGGCGCATTCTGATACCTCGACTTGGGTCTGAACCATGGGGATTGCTGAACTGATGCTGAAAAAGGGGGACAAGAAAAAGAAACTGACCAGAAGACAAGAAAATAACAATAATAATAATAATAGCGAGAACTAAGTATAGTGCTCCGTATGACGAAAAGAATCCCTATCCACGTGCCCTCTGCTTGCATGGTCTAACAAACACTATCAGGAAGCAACCTATCTCGACCCGAGATTGTCGTGACAAATTTCGCCTGGCAACGAGCCAGCTGTGGATCATAACTCAACAGAAACGGTTCGGCTAGCTCAACGGGCCCTTGGCAGCAGGAAGTCCTTTTACCTCGGGTTTCTATTCTCTGAATTCCATGAATATAGCTAGAGGACTGTACAAAGGGATGTGATGGCCATACATTTATAGAGAGTATCGGAACATCTGGTATCTCGACAACAACTTGGCTACAACTGAAAGACTCTGTGAGGTATTGTTGTCTTGATCTTTCCATGCAGTGAATCAAGGTAAGGTCCCTCCTGCGAAAAACAAGATGGTACCTGAAACTGGTCAACCGTTTTCTTCATAGGCTGTCAAGTGTGGTTTGCAAAAAAAAAAAAAAAAAGGCTCCACTCGGATTCATGTCTTCAGGGGCCCACCTACTTAGGTAATCCCAATCCTCCTGTATGAAGGTACAGCGCCTGTTTCGCTTGGTGCAATTTGCGAGCTTTTGCTTTTCTTTCATTCCTCGTTTCTTTCTTTTTTGCCTTTCCATCCTCAATTTCTTGCTACTTTCGAAACCCCCCCAATTCCACGATGCGCTAACGTCAGGCGATCAGACCAGATTCCATTCTCCACTATGACATGTTCCTGATTTCTGCTTTTGATGCCTGTTCCGATCCCCCTTCAGGGTTCCAAAAAAAAAAAAAAAAAAAAAAAAAAAAAAAAAAAAAAAAAAAAGGAAGTGTTCATTGTTCTTTTTGCTCTCTGCCTGCCCAGTCCGGATCCCACGACCTGCATGTTGCGGGTTCCAAATTCAAATTAGCTGAAGAAGATGGAGGAATGCCAATTCGTCTCTTTAGTTACCTATG